TTAGACCTTCTGGTTTTCCTCCTGGTGGCTTCTACTGACCCTCAAGTTCCATTTAGTCAAACTGGCCAGTGATACTGTGCCTACTCAGCTTAGATTAAACCTAAAATTATTTGGGTGACTAGGCTTTCATCCTTAGTGCACTGTGGTTAGGAGCCCTTGTCTACACCTGCTATTGGTAGGACCCTCAAAGGGGATGATCCCAAGAAGGAGCTGATTAGAAAAGTGCTCTGAGAGGATTCAGCAGGATTGGTATAATAATCAGCAGCTTTTGTCTTTCTTCTGTACCTGGTATCATCTCTATTATAATTTACAAACAAGTGGTCAGGCTGCAGCATCTTAGCAAGCAGACTTCAAGCGGGAATCCAAGGCAATCATATGTTAGCGAAGCCTTCCACGAGCTTGTGTTTCTAATACAAAAAGTGTAAGAATATTCCAGCTACCCCCTATTGAAGTTACAAATGCTTTGCATGAATCACTTCACCTTTTTTCCCCACAATGGGCAGTATTTTTGCCAAAAATCTTCCCTCTCCTGGGAGGTCCAAACAGCTTTCTAAGAGTGTAACTGTTGGTGGAAGGAGTAACCACCCTGAGTTGGATGTCTGTTTACTAAGTAGACATCTGTGCCAAAAAAACTTGGAAATGGGCTCCCTGAAGAAAGTGTCCTAGAAATTATTGCCCTCCATACGCGTTTCATACTGACTAGGCTTGCTAGCTGCCAGCCTCTGTGAATTTGGTCTAGGTAGCTCTTCCCCCCGCACCCCTATTTGTTTTCTGCTTTGGTCCATTGTGTGTGGAGCCTGTGCCGGTGTATGTTATTGTGTATGTGACCTTGCCTTGCCAGTTTCTGTACTGAGTTCATTTGGATACTCCTTAAAAGTTCATTACATTCTTAAAGTTGAAAAGAGACCTTTTGCCAGGCTTTACATAACAAACAGCAAGCTCATGTCATGATGCATGATGATATAATAAACTGCATCCCATTCTGGAGGTGTGACATTCTATATTAAGCTTCATAACAAGGATTTATTAGTCTTTAGCAATGCAGGTAGTTTGGACTGTACAGTCAAGGCCTCTTCAACTGCTGTTCTCACTTAATGGCATTGATAAGGTAATTTTCCACTGACTAGGCATTTTAGCAGTGCTTAGCAGGAGATTAAAGGAAAATCATGGCAATGTGCTGTCAAGTACAAAATTAAAAACCTGCTCTTCCCACTATCTACAGATAGATGGATAAGGGCTCCTTCCAAGAAGAAAAGGTAATGAGTAACTTAATTATAACCTTACATGCTGGACTTGGCACACAGGGCAGCTCTGAATCCTTCCCACACTTACAGCTTGCTATTGTAGGAATATGCACACGTGGCCGCATTCTGGAGCAAGGACAAGGTCGGAAGAAAGTCAGCATGTGCTAACAGCTGTTTCCACAACTATGTAATGAACCATGAACCTTCTCTCACAGGTGAATCATGTGAAAAATAAACGCTTTATGACACTGGCTTATGATACTAGTGTGAAGAGATGTCCTATGTTTTCTGCCAAAACCGTTCCAAGCCTTGCCACTAACAGCACACATGGAAAGAAAAAAATCTACATTAGCTGATTTGGAAACGGTTAGCCTTCTAAAGTCTCTGATCAATGGTAACGGCTGTAAGGAATATGGTTGTAGAGCTGAAAGACGAACTTGTGGATTGTGGTAACACATCTTCCACACTTCTCTTACAAGTCCCTTTATACATTTCTGGTTCTGAAGTCACACTTTGACCATCACAGTAACTCCTCCCATGAAAAACAATTTGTGGTTTGGGGTCTAATTGAACTAATGAAAGCACAAGAGGTAGATTGGGGTTAGGACTAAAGAAATGAGGCTGCTTGGAGCTGGTTGTTGGGAGCTCTCATACTTAGTTACTCCCTCCTTCTGCTTATAGCCTATTCTCTGCCTCCATTTCCCTTCTTGTGCTACCAGATGTAACCGGGATCCAAAAGCTGATCTGCTAAATAGTAACCCATCCAAAAATAGTTAATTTTCCACCAGACATGTGAAGAAGGGTCTGTAAGACAGCCTAGTATCAAAGACAGGCCTGTAAGCAATGCCTGAAATAATAGTATTTTAGGATTTTTGCTGACATTACTACTTTTCCCCTTTATCCTTTTCTGTAATTTTATTCCACACAAAGTGAAACAACATTAGAAACTGCTATATTCTGAGGCGATTTCTCTGTACACCTGCCCCGTACCTCTGTGCTTCCCCAAGGAGCCATGGGCACAGATGAGTGAGATGGACCAAATGCATCAGCAGTGATAACTTAGGCTTCCACACAACTCTGGTTGCACTCCTCAACTGTAAGCATCAGAGAAAACTACTCTTAATATATGGCAATGGAGTATTATCAAAGAATAATGTATTTGTCCTGTGGTTGGTTTTTTTTGGTTTGTGTTCCCTCAGGAAGCAGATAGGGTTATCTAGCACAATCGGTCCTGTATTACTATTTCCAACCTATGGAAATAATTTTTTTTTTTAAAGTTGCAACTGCATTTAATGTCAAAGTTGGAAGCCATGTCTGTCATAGCAAATACGCAGCAGGATAATATGGACTGTAAGCTAAGTGCAATATTCATTTTTCTCCTGCAAAAGCAAGGCTATATGCTGACACGCTTCATTGGATTATTTCCTCCTTGTTTTAGATAGTGAAATTAGTCTCCAGGCACCAATACCAAACAGAAATCATCTCCCTCATCTCTTACTTTCTCTGCTCACCAGTTCTCTTTTCCCATGCACTTCTTTTTCATGAATCAGCTTTGCTCTGCTATAAGAAGCAGAGCCATCAAATCCTGGGTCTGTTTTAATGTTTATAATAAGCTCTTTAAACTAATACTAGAAATTCCATTTATGTTTCTGCATTTGGTGAAAAAAATGTGGTTCTTATTGTGTTGGAAATGATATACAGTAACAACTGCACAGTGTACTATACAGTGTTCTTTTCAAAAGCTTTTTTTCTGTCTTTCTGAAACCTACCTTTTTTTTTCAGCTCTCAGACTGAGGGATCTTTAAGCTAGTTTTATCTCCAGAGTGGGGGTATTTATTCTGGTCTGAATTGATTCATTCTTTCTTTTACAATATGTGCAAGAATGTACTGCAAAACCAGATGTATTCAAATTATGTTAGAAAAACAGAGATGTTAATATCTAAATCATAGAACATGCTGGTGGTTTCATGGTGGGGTTTTTTTTCTCTCTGACAGTTTTTCCAACAAATAAAAACTTATTACAATACACCCCAAGCATGGATGAGTGAGCACATAACAACTATGCTGCTTTAGCCACTGAATTATTATTGCCTGGTATCCTGGGCCATCCTAGAAGGGTGCTTGAGAGCCTGGACTTGGAAAGCTCAGAGCAGTACACGATTTCCCCTACTGCCCTTTCCTGGTTCTGCTTGGGGAAGTGCCCCATGCAGCAGAACAGTTCCGCTCCCATCACCCCCAGGCAAAGTCCTACCATAATGTACCTTCACTGGGAAAATTTTAAATCTCCAACTATTTCGCCATTTTGCTAGATGTTACTTCTCCTGGTGATACCACCACTTAAAGCTACGTGCCACTGCTGTGGGGTCAGGGGAAGTGCTTCTAGTGGATGCTCATTCCACATTGGTCCCATCAGGGACTGGGGAAGCCCTAGGAAGTGATAACTATTCCTCGCTATGTTGAACTTGACGCAAAAAATTTCACAAGGAAATAAGCTTGCACACAGGTTAACAGCTGCAGCCTCATGACAGGAGGCTGCAGCATTCTTATCAACCATGCTGGGATGAAAAGTGTAACATTAAGTGGTGCAGAAGTTTGCCATCATTGCAGAGTAATGAGGATGTGCAATTTGAGCAAATGAAACACAGATCTTTTATGTGCTGAAATGAATTCATAAAGTTTCCTCTCACGTATTTGTCCTTGTATCTGTCATCAGTCAAGAACAAATTTTGGCAACCTTACTGAGAAAGTCAGTAGAAAATCTGCCCCATCAAAAAGTAAGTATTAGCAGCTTAGATTATCTAATCAATTTATGATCAAGAAATTGTCCAAAGGACGAAAGTCTCTGTAATGTGATGGTCTTTATTTGGACTCCCAGGGCATTTGCCACTGCTTTATATCACGTACAATTGTATAACACATATGATAATGCAATTTAAGTGTGAATTGCTGCAGTGGATGAGTGTGTACTGGCTCAGAGGTCTGAGCAAAGAGTGGCTTCTGGCTCAGGGCACTGACAGCCTTTTGGCAGCAGTGCAAATGACAACACCTGAGAAGCAGCACTGTACAAGTTGCTGCCAAGCTGCTACTTTCAATATAGGTTTCTTGAGGAAAAAAAAGTCAGTAATTTTACTACCAAAATCTAGTTGGCATAGTGAGGACACAGTTCAGGAAGTGCAAATGAGCCCAACAAAATAAAATATCCATTCGCACCTCTGTTGCAGGCTCAGTCCTTCTTGTTCCTCTAAGTGACATGCCATTGGCCTGTTTCTCTCCTAGGGCTGGCTGATGAGTAAGTTGCTGACCTGGGATTTTATTAGCAATAGCATGAATCATGCGCTAGGCAACGGGCATGCAGGGGTTTTTTAATAACCTACACTACCTGTCTTTCTGCTACCTCTCTAGCACTTACAATGAGCGATACCTCACAAACCACTTGTGGCCACCTACATTATTATTTATTGCACCACTCGTAAGGTTGAGCAGCTGGTGTCTTTCCCAAGATTAAATATGAGCGTAAAGAAATCAGCACTGCCTGATCCTTAAGGGTTTAGTGATACAGATAGCTGCCTGAGCCACTTCAGACACATGCACATTTCCATCTCCTCTACCACTAAGCACTTAGGCGAGGCAGACTGTGACAGTTGTCCAACCTGCCAGCAATTGCCTTCATTGAAGACCAGTACTACTGCCACTCTGCTGTCACACCCCCTTCCTGGTAATGTGCTGCTACTTCGCAACCCCACCAGTACACCTGTGGTGCTGTGCCATCAGTATCCCTAATTTGCTTCCAGGAAAATCAGCTGGGGTTATTTTGTGCCAAGTCCAGAGTGCAAAGGTATGTTGCATTGCCTCTGCTATATCAGCTCTGCTAAACAGAGCATCTGAGTAACCAGTTTGGCAGAGGAAGGAGAAACTGGAAAAATCATGACTGTCCAGGGTAAAAACACATTTATCTGCTGTGGGTAGGTGTGGAAAATGCTGCTTTGGATGTTTAATTCCCTTTTGGCAGCACTTACTTATCTATATTTAAGAGCAAGCTTGGATAGGACCATCATACCACACATACATACTCCTAGTCATAGAAGAAAACAGTTACAACTAGATTTTATGAGATTCCCTGGTCTGGCTCTGAATCAGGCAGCCAAAGGCTGCGGGACAGCAGCTGATTCACTACCAGGCAGTTTGGAGGGTCACGGAGGAACCAGCAGTGTCCCAGAAGGCAGTACAGGTCCTGTGTAGGAACCAGCAAGATGAGGCAGCAGTTTAACCAAGATTCTGTTCAGCTTCTAATTCAATGCACAAGCCAAAATCCTGCTTTGTAGTGCTCTGGCCACAACTGTGTGAAGCAAGCTGTCTTCATATTGAAATCTCTGTGCTTTTACCTTGCAGTCACTGTACCAGGTAACTATAAAACAATAATTTCTCTGGAAATCTTGTAAACAGGAGCAGACCTCTCAGTCTGAGATGCTCATGCACTGCTGTGAGCACACATTGCCTCTTACCCTCAGCAACGCTGCAGTCAGGCCATCGTGTTTGTGCTTCATATAGCATCAGGCCTTTATTTGGTACCTCTGGCCCCAGCAACGGGCTCTGCTGATGGGAAACTGGGAGGACAGGAGTGGAGGCCAAGCCTGCGTGCTTGCTCCCCAGCCCTGCCCGCTGCCCTGGTGGGTGCAGGCATTCACAGCAGGGCAGCTCAGGCTCTGAGAAAGGGCAGACAGCTTTTCTCATTTCTTGGGCGAGTACAGCAGCAGAATAGCTTATTGTAGAAAAATACAACTCCTCACACCTTCTCTTCTGCGGAAGAGCTGTGGAGGAAATGAAAGGTGAACAATAGTAGTTCACAACAGCAACGAGGGAGAACTTGGATTTGTGCTTTGGCTGTGCTCACTGTATTCATTCTGTCTCAGTGGAAGAAAGCAAAAATTAGTACCTCAAGTTTTAATTAAGTAGCCTGGTAGAGATACATAGAGATCCAGATTCTTCACCCCCAGCAAATATAATTCTGGAGTAATTATAAAGAATTTGTGTACAAACAGAAACAGTGTTAAACCAGAATAATGAGAAAAGAGCACAAATACTTTCTGCTCTGCTCTGTTGATTTACTGAACCATAACAATGGTTGACTAATCTCACCTCAGTGCTGAGGAATGAGAAGCTACAGAATGATGGACTAGATAAACAATTCAAACAAATGCAAAGTCATGATGCTATAGGAAATACATGCTGGTCTGTAGGCATTCAGGGGAAAAATGAATTGGTTTGACTCGGGTCACATCCACTGTAATTCTATGCCAGAACTCATGTTCATCTCTGGTAGGCAAATAATGAAAGACCACGATTTCCTCATATTTTAACCCCCATTGCAAAACAAGTTCTCTTAGCAGCTTAAATGCAGAATTCAAAACATGTTTCCTGATTAGCTGAGGGCCATTGTAAGCCAAGCAAATGACTTACTCTTTGCAAACCCAGCAGACTCTGAAATACCAATGTCTTAACCCAGTTTCAAAAAAGCCCCAAAGAAACAAGCTAACGCTCTGAGGAATGACAAACTTCTCACAGTAATTAGGAACTTTGTGATTTGAAAAACTCATAAAAAGACTTGTGCAAAGTATGCTTCACATTCACTATTTCTGGTAGGAACAACACAACATGGAGTAACACAGGCTAAGTACCAGTAAGGGTTAGCCTGTCTGTGAACCTTCAGTATTTATTGTTCAGAAAGAAGGCGGCAGTGAACAGCCAGAAGAGTAAATGATATGATCAGCATGCAAGCTAGTGTACTTAGACAAATATTGGCTGACATAAATCCAACAGAGATTTGAAATGCATGGATTAATACATCAGAGCTGATCTTAAGACACAGAACAAAGAAATTGGGGGGGGGTTGTTGGTTTTGTTTTTGTTTTTTTCTTTTTTTACACAAAACATTCTGAATGACATTGGGACAATTTTTACAGTAAAGAAAACATTAAGAGAAACACAACCATCAAAAAAAGAATGCTTCTTCTGTTCTCAGATGTTTTCCTTCATGTTGTTGGTTTTTTCCCTTAATCACAGTTTTGATAGCCCATCCTACTGCCAGATTCGTGCTCCAATCAACGATTTGGAGGTTTAGGATGATATTGTTCCACAGTGAATATGCCTGTCTATGCTTTATCTGCCCTAATTGCAGCCTTATGTGTTAGCTTAAACTACATCTGGCTGCTTTTCCTGTTCTCCTCATCCGGTAATTTGTTTATCCTTCTGTTCCTTTATACAATAGTAAAAAACATGCTCTTTCAGTCTACCGTATTTTGTGCACTCTGCCCCACCTGCCATTTGTAATAGTGTGAGCTTATCTTCCCCAGTGTTCCCAACATTACACCCAGCATCTAAAAGTCTGGTACTGGGTCCTCCCTCTCCTCTGCAATGCTGCCCATCTCTTTCACCTTGGCTTCACCACCTCCTTTGCTGGTGGTTTTGAATTCATCATCCTCACTTTCATGGCCCTTCCTTTTTCTGCAGCCAGTGACCAGTTGCTGCCTTCCTGCAGGTTCCCTTGCACAGCTGTGGTGCTTGTCAGACTTTGCAGCGTGTCACTTCAGCATTAAATTGCCAGGGAAAATAAAATAAATCAAAAAATATGGAAAGGAAATTAGCAGGCAAGACAGGCTCACAGCAGCCAGTGTTGGTTAAGCCTACTTTGGGACAGCGACGCTTGACTCACCATTTTCAGATTTCCTACCTTGTGCTCCATCCCTGACTTTTTCCTTATTGCCATAAGTTTCTGTCTCCTTTGCTGTCACTCCATGATCCTACATACCCTCTCCTTCAGCTAAGATCCTCACATTGTTTTTTCAACCTACAAAGACTTAATACTGCATCAGCCTTAGAAGGATAGTTTGACTTGCACAGTATCATGAAACATCACTATAACCTTACTCTGCTATTTGTTCTGCCTTAAACCAAGACCATAAATCAAGTGCCGGCTGGGTCAAATCAAGGTAGGAAGGAATGCCTTTACTGTTTATGGGGCAAACAGATATCCCTCACTTCCCAAACACAACTGTAAGCACATACAGTCATAAGTGAATACAGTCACATATGAGCTAGAAAGAGGTTTATATTCTGGGGTTATACGAGTATCCTGCATACTTCTGGTGATGTGTTAAAAATACCAGCAATTGTGGTAAAAAAAAAATGTAGTTAGAAGAAATACAACTCAAAGAAGAGGTATGTGCTGCACTTTTTAGGTACTTTTCAAATGCAGCTGCCACATTGGACTGAGAGGTTTATATCATTATAGGTCAGTCTAAATCACAGGCCAATGAGTGAGTAGCCTCTTAAAATTCACAAAAGACAGGAGATAAGCACTCAGCAGTAGTTTGGGGATTAAATAAAAGCCTCAGGAACAAGAGACATTGTATTTATCCTCCATTCTTCCTCTGTCTCATTTTTAAACTTGCATGCTGTCATTTTATTACCTCTAGGAGGTTTGGGACAGCTGTAAGGACAGTGCCAGGGAAGCATGAAACAAAACTACCACCAACTTCCAGCTTTCCAGACTTTAATGTAAGGAAAGGATGTGCGTTCTTCTGAAGCTCGGATATCTAGCTTGCACTGTTTGTACCCTTTAACCCCACCTTGAAATCAGGTTATAGGAAAACAGAGCCATAATGCTGGAGAACAGTAACATAATGGGTGAAGTATGTATAGAACAATTTGTTCTTCTCTGGAGATGAGTACCCAGCTGAAACACTTATTATTTCTATTCTTCGGCTTTTGGAGTTAATGTTTTATAAAACAATTGCACTAATCAACTGAAGCTTTTGCAGAATAAAGCGTATTTAATTACCAGCTCAGAAGTAGTGTTCCCAGATGTGCCAGAATATAAGACATTCAGATGAAAAGGTTTGTGTTTTACACTGCTGGCTAGCAAAGAAGGCAAAGCCCAGTCCACACGGGAGGGATGGCTGCTGTGCCACCCCTCGGCATGCTTTAGCCTGACCAACAGCGACACCAGGAGGAACCCGACAATTAAAAAAAAAGGCTCTGCTATGCCTTACTGTCCAAATTCCTGTCCCAAAATGCTGAAGCGTTTCCCTATTATCTGGAGGAAAGCAATGAGCTGAATAGAGAATCAATGCTAGTAATTTAGCAGAAAAGAGAGACCGTGAACAAGTATGTACCAGGTATCCACCGGCAACCATGTTCAAAATGAAGGTTAGACAAGATGCTTTTCACTGCAAGAAGCACTTCAGTGGCAGGAGAAGTTTGCAAACAACTGAATGCAATTAATCCATCAGTTTTCAAACACTAGGCATGCAGCAAATGACAGCACATTTTGCTGGTCAAGGAATACACATTTCAGAACAGCAAACACAAGGCATTAAAAAAGTCCTTGCCAAGCCATTATTCTTAGTCAAGAATTTAATTCTATGTGACCAAGTCATTCTACCCATATATAAGCCTTGAAAATTTTTGTCCTCTTCCACATAGGAAAGTAAAAGTACACACTTGTGCAATACGTGCCCAACACACTGGTGCAGCACCAACGTGGCAAATAATTCAGAAGACAATCCAGGCAAAGATGTCTCCTGTAATTTACACTTTATTTTTTTACATAGCTCCTGTTGAGATTAATGCAGACTTCAGTGGATTAGTACAGGCTAATGAGTCTTGAATGCAGCAGCTATACATATAATCGCACACAGAAACACAGACAGCTGCCACAAATTAAGAGTTCTGGCAGCTGTGTGGTTTTGAACACATCCAGCAACAACACGTAGAACTGAATGACGGAAATACCACAAGAAAACAAGATGATACAATACAAACGGGCTGCTCTGTTAGTTCTGAAAGATAACAGTGAGCACTTTCCCAGTTGTTTTAAATTCAGCACTGCAGGGCAGCTATTTGCAAAAACCCAAGTTGAGACCTACTATCAGCAAATAGTATTCCTGGTTCCTGAAAACAGTTCCCGTACCAACTCTACTGTTAGAAACTGTGATAGGATGCAGTAGAATAGAAGAGTAGCAGCCTGCAGGTTTGATTTTTCGCCATTCATTAAAAAAAGCAGTTCCTCTGTTTATCAGTCAAAATGACATTCGTAGAATTTTAATTTTTTTCTTCAGTTAATAACATAGCAAGAAGAAAGGAAGTTACTTGCAAGACTGTTCCTGTCAAGGTCATTTCACAGTAAGCAATACTGTGCTAACAAATGAATTATTGATCACATGTCATTTAACACTTGTTATTTGCTGGTGTTACACACTCAGTGGTAATTAAGTTTATGCAACAGTGGAAGCCGCTGATAGAATTTGTATTAAAACTGCAAGTTCCATTATGTTGCACATACCAGGAGCTCCAAGACACATTTTATGAATTCTTAAATTGCTTTCCTTGGGTGAGATAACCCAATGACAGCTAATACAGTTTACAATCTCCTAAGTGGACTTTCCAAATTAAAGCAGAAATTGACAAACAGGGTGCTTACAGTATCTTTAAACCTCCTTAGTTTAATACTTCATCATAATCGCAACTGCTTATAGGCACCTAAATCCTTGCCAAAGCCTGTTACAATCTGCAGCTGTCTTTAAAAGGTATTTTCCCCAGAGCCACTTCACTGGAAGTCATTCAGCTAGTCAATTCAGGTAGAATTCTTCAACAACAGGTAACTAAATAAATAGAAGGGTGGAGAGAAGCACACTGCAAAAAGCATCTAAGGAATTCAAAGCTGTCTGGGAAGCAGATGAAACATTATGATTACCTGCTGTAATGCCATACTAGCAGTCCAATGACAATGGAGATAACACAATCTTTGGAATAGTAATTCATATACTCAGCAAAAGACAGGACGAATTTGTAATCTACTTAGAGAGAACCCATTATCTGCTTACATAAAGTGGATCTAATGCACTTTGCACTTACTCGTAATACACACAGGTAGTTATGTATTTCAAGCTGAGTCCTCTGTAAGACTACTCAAAAGTTTGTGTTGAAGAAGGGATTGCTATATATCAAAATGTCAAGTTAATCTTTAAAAAAAAAAGTTTACCGTATTTGCCATACAGTCACCCTCTCGATTACATTCCTACATTTCTTCCACTGATGCTCATTTTCAGATAATGATTTGAAGAGCGGTCAAACACCAGACTTACCATCCCATTTTTGTTGTGTTCTGTGGCCTGAGTTCACATACCTAAAGCCAGATGGCATAGTTAACCTCATTCCTGTAAATTAAACCACTAGACTTGTGAAACTGTTTTATCCAAAAAGAATTAAAAGGCCTTTATTTTCTAGAACAACAGATATAAGATTATCCAAAAACTATTCATAAGCAGCAGGAAGAGGAAAGAGAGTAGTTAATGAACTTATTTTTCATTGTTGAGAGTTTCATAGTAACATTCAGTGCCACAGAACAATGCTAAAGAATACAGCTTCTATATCTTGTTCTATTTGCAGAATAATTAAATTTGGAAATTGGATTGTTTCTTTGTCCTCTATCTGCTAATGATTTATCTGTCGTCTTATAGGTTTTCAGTTCTTTCTGTGTGCACATACACAACAGTCTTTCACGAGATCTGTTTCCTAGTTAAATGGCCAAGCACAAAGAACTACAGGAGAGTTCACCTGGCTGTAAGAGACTCAGCAGGAAAAAACTTCAGCAGGAAAAAACTTCAGCTGACTACTGTTTGTTCTATAGAAACTGACACCCAAAATACTTTCTATAATACAGATGTAAAATTCAAAACACTATATTTTAAAACTAGATGTGAAGGTGAAAGAAGACCTGCTAGCATTATGGTATGTTGGACCTTTAACACAATTTGGATGACATTGCTATTGTAATATCTTAGCATCAAAATAAATCAAAAGCCAAATCACAGTCCTAGAATCTGAGCCCAAAATTAACAGGTCTGCCATGTTCAGAGATAGTGGAAATTTGGTATAAGATTTGAGAGGAAAAGAGATCTCCTTCAAAATGGTACTCTGTGGAAAGCTAAAAATCAGCCTAATAGCACCGTGCCTCTTCTCATCCTGGATTCTGAGCAAGGCTCCTAAATGAGCTGCTGATGGCTATAGTCTTCAGTGGCCAGGAGAAACCCCCACCTAAGGTAAACCAGACAAACGATTTGCCTTTTCCCAGCAAATTGCCTCTGGAAGAGTATTCCCTCCTGGCTGCATATCCAGTTCTTCAGCTGGTTTGGTTGTAGGATGTCACAAGGGCTGTGACAACCTGAATTGGCTGTGACTCCTTCTAGCATTAAGAGGAGCTTCCAAGAGACTGCAGTAGCCCTTGTTCTTACCTCTTATCTCCCAACACACAGGGTGAAAGTCTCCTTCCTGAAGGAGAGGCAGGAAAACTAAAGCAGTCTTTTCAGCCCAGTGATACTTCTCCCAGCTAGCAGCTCAGTCTGTGAAAACAGACAGTCAGCTGAATGTTCCTGCTCCAAAACAACAAACAAAAAACCCTAGAAGCCCAAGGTATCTCATAAAATGTACCTTTATTTATGCATTGAAAAATAGCCCTGTACTGGCCACCCCCCACAGCACCAGTTATCTGTAGGAAACTCAGCACATAGTTTGAAGCCTAGATATACTAGCTGGAAATATCAGCAAGTGGTGGGGAGGCAGGGGATACAGGCAGTGTTGATACTGAAACATAGTGATAAGGCACCAGATTATCCAGGCCACCTGAATCCAAATTTCTTAGTTTCAGTCACCCTGCCTCCTTCCCAAAGACCACATATTTCTCATTTGAAGACTAAAGTAGTAATTTCATACATTGAAAGTGAAGCAATTTTAGAGTAGCTGATTTTTTGACAGAATTGGTATCTTTGCTGCAGATAAGTTTTACATAATTAATTTTCTTCACCATGAGGCTTGGAAGGTGCTTGGTTCTGAAATGCTAGAATTCATGACATGGCTGTTCATAAGGCTGTTACTGAAACTTGATTCCTTGAGCCAAAGGTAAATCCTTGCTGTAGTTGATTGTACTGGAAGAGAAACAAGTATTTAGAGACCAGGCTTGATCACTGAGACAAGATTGTGCAGTCCACTTCCCATGTACAAGGCTTCTAGTTTCTGTGACACGTATACAAAAGACTTCTGTAAGCAGTTTGCCTATTTAAAGTTAAGAACTGACTTTACTCCAATTTTCAGTATAGTAACTATATACAGGGAAAGACCACATGCCCCATTATCTCTTCCTTGAGAGATCAAAGAGAAAGTGAAGTATCATTCTCTATTTAATCTTGTACTAGGAGAATATCCATACAAAAAAATCAAGGTGGGAGTTCTCACTTTCATAAGCCTTTGCATGGAAACCAAATCTAGCATAGGTAACGGCTAGGGAGGCCAGCAGAGAGTGGGAATGGTCAACCACTATAGGCTGTCAGGAGATTTATGGATAGATACCCAACACAGAGTGAAATCACCCACCACTGGCAATAGGAGCCCCCTCACTGTGGTTGCCACTTCATGTATTTCCTGACAAGTTTCAGTAATTTACTTTTTAGCAGAGTTTAAAATCAGGCAAGAGGGGAAAAAAACAGCTTTTTTTTTTGTCCCTTTTGAGGAACAATGAGTAAAGAAAGGTCTTTATCTAGACCCTTCAAATCATTTTCTACCAGAAACACAGATGTTAATTCTTGCATGAAGAAAGGGCAATTACACTCATATATGGTTATCTCACATTTAGCGAAGATAACCTCCTGTAGTCAAGGATTTATACGGTTTGAACTTTTGCAAGTTTATCTGTAATTTACATTTATTTAAAATGTAATAAGTCTGTCTTACCAAGTAGACCGTCTCATATAAAGTTTCCATGAATCACTTCCAGATTCTCTCCCTCCACCAGTGTGCTTTTCACCACCTGTAGGAAAAAGGTTATAAATAAAAACTTGAAATTTTTTTGGAACATGGGAATCTTGACTAACTCCAGGAGGTGAGACATTTTATAAAAATTCATGGGAAAAAAAATATTCCTCTGGCATTGTTCTGTATTTGAAATAAGTTACCAGAACACCACCACATACAATGCACACAGCTAGCTCTCTCCTCATGCTTGATCCAAAAAATATCTGCCTGGAGTTTAAAGCCTCATCATGGTGGCATGAGAGGATGCTGTTTTAAAGATATTTTAACATGAGACAAGAGTACAAGAATGTGCTGGTTCTTGTGCTGTTTAAATGGTAAGGTGAATATTTCTTCTTGCCTCCCCCCCGCTTCCTTCAGTATATACAAAAAAGAGAAATAAAGGCAAAAATGTATTGAAAGACTGTCTCACAAAAATACTTCATGCTGAAATTTTTATATACACATGCAAACACACACCACAAAAATGCTCAATGTTTTAATTAAAACTGGTTTAAACAGTTTTCTACTCAGCCACATCTCTAAACGCATTCAGAACATACTTCTGAGTTACATTCCCTTGGTGGGGGCAGGGGAAATGATACATGGAATATTTAAAAAACAAATACAGATATTTTTAGAAGCTGAAATCCTACTACCTCTTATCAATTTGTTTTCTGCTAAAGCAGTATAATGAAAAATTAACTTCATTGATTTCTTCAGATTTAGTCATTTAAATGGACTCATTAAAACCTTGAAAAATAAGATGAGGAGACCTAAATTATACTAATTTTACAATGGCAATGCTTTATTCTCTTCCAGAGTCATTAGAACACCCCCCCTCCCCATCTTTAAAAAAGTGAATCCTGAGGAATAATACCAAGCCTCTAGACCTGATGCTAGAAGATTTCATCATTTAAAGGATAAAGAAAAAAGCATAAGTAACATACCAAAAGCACCTCCAATCTCAGCCCCACTGGTTGGGATGTTGACATTCACAATGCCACAGTCAGATCCCTTTGGCCTACAACCAAAGATAAGACACAGTTACTTCTCAGGATCAGGAAAGGCTCCTTCCCTAAAATAGAGCTATAAAATGGTCAGCTAGCTTTGTGCACGGGTTTGCAAAATACATGAAAGACTGATTTTATGCTTCAAGAAGGTAGAAAAAGAATTTAAATTATACCCAAGCCAGCGGAAAATCCTTCCCAAATCCTTAGTAAAGATACTGCTGGAAAGACCTTGGTTTACTTCATTATTCCAGGCAAAAACCTCCTCTTCCTCCTAAAAAGAGCATGTATCAATGGTTAAACCATGACCATTCAAAGCAAAGCAGTAACATACAGCACATCAGGGATAGAATACCTCCACCACCGCACAAAACACACAAGCTGTTTTTGAGCAGGTTGACATGACCAATGAAAATCTATTCCTGTACAAACTCTCACCTTAACTCCAGTGCTCTTCACAGAAAAAGCGTAAATGTAGCTATACAGTGACATAAGCTATTACAGTGGGTATCCCACAGTGCAGAACAACTGTTACCACTTCTTGAAGTGCTAGGACAATTACATTAACATGACACACATCTGAAATCTCTCTCCTGACTCTTCTGTTAGCATCCCTGACAACTGACTAATTCCCCATTGTTATTTTACCTTAAATTTCAGCACATACAGTATGGGAGCAAATGTCTCAGTGTGGACAATGGGTGCATTATGAGGAAGGCCAGTCACAATGGTTGGTTCAACATAGTTTCCAGGGCGATTTATGACCTTCAAAACACATAAAAGAAGAAACAACTAAGTAAGTTCAAACCAGCATCCTTCTTAGTACTAGGGTAGGAAGGGAATCTTTCATGGTCTGATTACTATAGTTGTGCCTAGCAATCAGAAATTGAAGGTTAGGTCATCTGAGTAGGTAACTTAAATTTTACTTGTTTAAATATTTAAAATACAGAAGCATAACTTAAGTCTACTAAGGAGGTAATCAAATCTCAAAGTCTAGCAGGTGACAAAAAAATACTTCCTTATTCCTACTTGTAAGCTGATTAGAACTTCAAAGGTATTAGGAAGAAAGTAGGTGCCAGTGAAAGACAAGAATTCCCAGAATGTTAAACCCATGAGAATTAAACATCCCATATGATGAAGATCTATAAGTGGCTCTCTTGATTCTTCAGTATTTCCTGAAGTTTGATACTATGAATCCAGGAACAGAACAGCAATTTTTCTTTGTTACATGCTTGATATTCACCATGTACATTGCTGTTTGTATTTTCGCTATACAAGGGAGTAGGGCAAGGAACAGCTAAAAGCTCTTAGCCATTTCTTGGAGGAGAAGGTAGCTTCCAAGTAGACCCATCTTTACCCTAAAGACAGGACTGCTATTCAAACATTCTCAGACCGACTACCTTAATATCCTATAGTGGCTGACAGGACAAACTGAGGTACTATCTTGGCCTAAGCCACCATGTTACTGTATTTTTTTTCCTAGAGCACTAAATGTAGCAGGGAGAATAAAAGTAAGTCACCTTTCCACCATAGACCACAGAGCCACCCTGTTGTTTTGCTTGTCCTACTGCATCAAGGAACATTTTCACTGCTTCTTTGGTATGAAGAGGCCCATACAGAGTGTCAGCTAAAAACAAAAGATCCAAAGACATACTTTCAGCAAAACTATATATGTTTGCAAATATTCTTATCATGACATTTTGGGAGTAATCATTTAATCTGCCCGAGATGAGCAGTATTAGCTGGATTCTTCAACTTCCTTTCAGAGTTTGTATTCTAAACAAAACCAGTTATCCCCACTCTCTGGTAAACTGCTAAAATTAGATAGCTTTGATCCATAATCTCTTCAGTATTTAACAGAAAGAAACAAATGGAATCTTGTCTCCTAAACTCATGAGTTGAAAATAGCTACTTACGATCCCACGGATCACCAATGCGGACCTGGGCATATGCCTGAGCAAGCTTTGCCACCACCTCATCATGGATGCTTTCATGGAGGAACTAAACAAAATGTGGTAAGAAGGTTGTAAGACAGCTCAGCCTATGTAACTATTCCTGAAGTACTGCTGCACTTTGAAGAGGACTGAATGAAGCGTGAAGATAGTGTTGCTCATATTCAGCAAATCCCAAAGTTAAAAATAAACATATGAGCAAGGCCTCGAAACAGCACCAACACCATGAAATGAAGATTTAAAATCTTCATCATCAAGACTTAAAAGCAGCAATTATACAAAAACCTGTTTTAATTTTACCCCATCTCAGATCAATGGTATCAATGTGTTCTGTAAACTCATCAGTTAAGCGTTTTAGGACAAATACTCAAGTGATTTTTATTGCTGTAATGTGAGGAATCACTGCTCTTCCCATACACCCAAAGTTAACCCACATTAATTTTGATGAATATTTACCTAATCAACCCAACTCTGAAAAGACTATACAGACGCAGACTGATATTTTAACACCTTTAAACTTATTGAAAATGATTGGTTAAAAATTAATAATAAAGTAAGCAACACATAGACCCTTGCTTTGCTGAAATCTAAACCCCACATCAAAAATCGTAGCAGGCAAAAGCAAAGAAGCTCTGGCAACGAAAAGAAAGAGAAATACGGCAAGTATGGTAAGTTTTATTTTCCTGAGTTTTAGCACCTGGGACACTTAGAAACACATACGAAGAAACTCTTTAGAGCTAGAATTATAGTGGAATGACAAACTACCATCTTATTTTTGCATCATACTGATTTTTGACAAAGTAAAAATGTGTTTCAAAGATTATTTGTTGCTCTCCATAATGTTAGGAATTGCTAGGCATTTCCTGAGCTAATTTGAAATTAAATTTAAATTCAGAACTACCCAAACCAGACAATACATGTTTACTCACCAGCCTTCTAGCAGTTGTGCACCTCTGACCCGCTGTTCCCACAGCAGCAAATAGAGCAGACGGGATGACTAGGTTCAGATCTGCATCTTCAAACACTTAACAAAAATTAAAACATCAGCATGTTACTAAAGTAAACAGGCACTTCACAAGACTTAGGACACTAAACAATATAATAAACTGACAGGCTGGTCAAGAAGCATTGGGAAAAGTCACACTAGCATAGCACACTAACATCTACAGAAACACTTCAAAACTCCTATTACTTTCACACCTGGAATTAGACACATACAACTGGACATAAATGTAGGTCTGAACTACTGAAGGGAGCCTTTTGCAATAAAGCTTGCAAAGAACTTCAGCTTCATTTTAATTCAAGAAACTACAAGCAATTTCTTGCTGTTTCTTCACCTTGTCCTTCTCTCACTGAGAACTCTAGCAGCATAAAGAAACAATGGTAAAGTATATCCAAATGGCATATAAAAAAAGTAGCTAAAACACACAGGTACACAATAATGTAAAATACAAGTGAGCTGAACAAATTCATCTGGCTTAGATGACATCGGGATGTTTAAAGCAAAACTAGTATGTACAAGCGTCAAAGGATCCCCAAAATATCAGTCAGCTTAGCCAGTCCCACAGAATTCTCTACATATCCAAAATTATTATTACATTTGGGACAAAGTCCAACCAAACAACATTTATGCCATCATTCAAAGCCAATTCCAGAAAAAACAGGACTTTAATATGAAAAAGGAAACAATTTTCCAAGTATAAAGCAAGTTTATGCTACTGGCTGCAAAGCACAACAGGAAAAAAAAGAAAAACCTACTCAAATATGATTTTCAAAAGAGCTTAATATTCTAGATAGGCAATTACACTTGTTCAGAATATGAGAAAGATGAAACACAAGGCTACAACAGGACAGCAATTTAGGTATTTATCTAGCTTATATGTTCTTCCTGCCACAATGCTCAGCTTCACGGTATTAATGCTATGTTTATCTGTGAACCAGATCATACCCTAAGCTACTTAAACCTGTAAAATGTGCTACTGACATAAACATCTGCATGCTTTCCTTTCATCTTAAGACTATATATATGTACTTATATTCTAAAATGCTAAAAATGTGTTCACGAGATTAGAACTATTCTAAAATCAAATTTATTTTGCATTGTCCACATCTCATTACTGAAGCTTCCTACTTCTCTTGTTCCCTTCTTCACTTCAAACATGAATAGATGTAAGAGCTTGAACTTTCATTTTTTACCTTAAAACACTACCCCTCCACAATACTGAAGATGGAAAAAACCCCCAACATCCTACTATGTACTTTTTAAACCCCCAGTGTGTGTGTGGGGCGGGGGGGGGACGACACAGACGGGACAATTTGCTACAAACATTTGTATACTAACTTCCAAATATCATCTATGGTACTTGTTGTGGTTTAACCCCAGCCAACAACTAAGCACCATGCAGCTGCTCACTCACCTCCCGCCCCCGCCCCGCAGTGGGATGGGGTAAAGAATCGGGAAAAGTAGTAAAACTTGTGGGTTGAGATAAGAACGGTTTAACAGAACAGAAAAGAAACTAATAATGATAACACTAATAAAATGACAATAGTAATAATAAAAGGATTGGAATATACACATGATGCACAATGCAATTGCTCACCACCCTGCTGATCGATGCCCAATTAGTCCCTGAGCGGCAATCCCCGCACCCCCACTCCCCCCAGTTTATATACTAGATGTGACATCACATGGTATGGAATACCCCATTGGGTCAACTGTCCTAGCTGTGTCCCTTCCCAACTTCTTGTGCCCCTCCAGCCTTCTTGCTGGCTGGCCATCAGAAGCTGAAAAATCCTTGACTTAATATAAAGATTACTTAGCAACAACTGAAAACATCAGTGTGTTATCAACATTCTTCTCATACCTAACTCAAAAACATAGCACTATACCAGCTACTAGGAAGACAATTAACTCTATCCCAGCTGAAACCAGGACAGACTGAATATCTACAGAGCATATTACCAATAATGGCATTGTTTCCTCCCAGTTCCAGCAAACTCCGACCTAATAAAAAACACACAAAACAAGTTATGTCACGCACACCTGTATTCAATGCACCTCATGCAGTGAGGCTGCCTCTAACTAGAGCCAAGTTTCATTAAATGTACTTTTCTGGACAGACAAGAAGTTTTAGGCATCACAGTCAACTTATCACTCTAGCCAAAGCAGAAAATGACACCAAATGCTACTTCCATCACATACTGTGAAGACAGATACCTGGAAAGCAGTTAGGGCAGAAAGAAGCTTAAAAAGTAGGCAAAAGCAGCACTAGAAAGGAAAAGATGAAAACAGAAGAAGTTGCAGCATAAATAGTATGACACAAAGAAGAGGAGGAGGTGCTACAGAAATCAAAATCCACACATAAAATTAAACTGGGCTTATTTATTTCTCTGGCAACTGTTTTATCTCAAATCTGAGAGAAAGAATCACCATCTACTTCGGGGTAAACGTTTGCAATCTGTTCTGATTTTTTTTTTTAAACTCCTATGAACTTCAAATGTATAAAATGAGAAAAAATGAGAAAATCCTGTTCACAAGGTTTAAAACTAAAAAGTTAGAATCTAGCAGCTGTGCATGGACTCATGTCTATATACTTCTAAATATTTGCAACAAAAACAGCACCTCAAAAATCATAACTTTTCACCTGTATTTATAAGGACTAAAAGGTGAGGGGGCACTTCTCCATGAACACATTGCCAAAAGACTATAGGCCATGGCTCTTCATCTTGACAATCTCCACACAATTACATTCATGGTCACACACACCCCGCCCCACACACCCCGAATTAACTGTAGTACCATGGATTTGTGGGTACCCTGGAAAAAATGCTGAGTTGCGACAGGAGCAGTATCTAGCTCCGCGCAGTTTCAACATCCTATTTCCACCAAGTCACAGGGAAAAAAAAAAAGGTAACACAAGAGGTAAGTAAAAACAAGCTGTCATTTTAAAATCCTGTGGGGCTCGCCTGCCTTTTCCAACCACGGAAAGAAGTGGAGGAGATCCCACACACTCACCAAATCTCTCCTGAACCATAAGCGCTACTTGCTTGCCCACTTTTGTGCTGCCAGTGAAGGACAACAGGTCCATTCTCTCATCTCTTGCCATTGCTGTCCTGCAAAACAGGAGACATGCCACCACATTCAATGAAAGAGCAGACAGCTGGAAAAGCTGCTTGCACCTTCCACATAAACCAACTTGAACCAGGGACATTTTTTAAAGTCAGAGCCACTTCTTCGAAACCATCAGCTAAGTGACCCAGCAGACGGCAGGAAAGCTGCTTCTTAGTCAGAAAAGAGGAAGAAGGCTGTTTCACTCCCCCTTTTCAGATTGTAAGAGCATCACCTGTCCTAATTTTGAAATTCAATCTAAAGTACATAGCGAGATCAGTTCCAATCATTATGTTCCCTAAGAAAATATGCATACCTATAACTTTTATTAATGCTTACCATCTGTTTTGTCTTCTCTTGAAATGCCCCAAAGATACATCTGAATATACATTTCTACTGGGTATTTCCATATTGTAATAATCAAACAAAACAATTTGATTTGTATAGCTTCCAAGCACAGGTATGCATCTATGAGCAAGTACAGAGTCCTATGTGAGCATGGAAAATGGGGAAGTATTCTCCTCCACAAGTGGTCCAAAAGGCCAGTGGGTTAGAAATTGAAAACTCTTTAAGAATATGATGAGTGGAATTTAATATTAGCTGTATTCTTTGGGTGTAAACATATGCAGAAGTAGAATATATTAGTCATGTCTCTTCATTAAATATCTGACAAGTTATTTGTTAGCAGCTGATCTCACAAGAGCAAGAAGTACGCATTATGTTTACAGCTGGGCCAGAGTTTCAGACCAGTTGATAAAAATGAAGGCAACAGGTACATGTATGTACTGGGAACTCCTGATGATCAGAATAACTTTACAAGAACTACCTCAAAGAATATTCTTTACCCTCTATACGTCTTCACAAGAAATGTTACCTACCCAATGTCTGCTCCACCACAAACCAGAGAACAGATTGCTCCAGGCACTTTGTTATCCTCCAAGACTTTGGCAATTATCCTAGAATCAAAGATGTAAAAATTTCAGAGATTTCTGACAGGTGTATATAATAGGGAATGAACCATTAAAACTGACTGACCACATACATGAAGAAGCTAGATTTTTAAAGAGCAGCAGTCTTGCAGTTAATTGACATGTAGTTTGTACAATACATAACACACCTCTCTTACCAAGGACTTTGCTGTTACAATCATAGCTCACACAGAAGTAAGACTAAAATATGTTTATCATGTGTCCACACAGCTGGCACAGACAAGCATCAGATCAGTGTGTAAAAACCTTGGCCATATAGTCTTCCCCCATTAGAAAGAGAAATTTACGTAACTTCATGGAGCTACATAAAATACTCATAAGTAGTTTGGGGCCATTGTTCTCAGAAGTTAATATTAAAGTTACAAGACTTACTAATTAGTTATTTTAAAGAGGCCTACTTATACTTAGCATTTAAAAAGAAATGTTATTTGTAGCACACTATATGCTAATACAGTAAGCAAAGTACAAATCTACAGTAAGTATCACTCTGACAGTTATTCTTTGGAGTTCTCCTTTTTATCATGAATGAGTTTTGAACCCTGGAAACATATGCTGAGGTGTTACTAGGTTTGTGTAGCAAAGATTGTGTAAAGGCATCTTCAAGATATAGGTCTACACAGCCAGCTAGAAGGATCTGCCAAGAAACTGGGTGCTGATATTAGGCTGAGACTCCCAAAAAAAGGGATGATTCTGAAACATGAGTGTGTGATTGAGGGAAGCTGAATTTTGTGAGCAATTCGTCTTCTACAAGGAAGAAAACCACATTGCTAGCCCTATTTCAGCAGAACCACAGCCCTGGTCCCAGAAAAAAAATGGCCAACAGTACAGGTAACATCCTGCATATACTGTTACTTCTTGGGTAACAAGGGGAAACCAGTTCTTCTGACCACTAAGCACTCCCTCAAACAGAAAAGCAGTTGTTTAAAAAGCAAAACAGAAAGCAAAGAAACCAGAACTCACTTTGTAACAGCAACGCTAGTGAGGGATGTTGTAGGAGCACCCTTCCTAAAAATAATAATAAAAAAAGACATTATTTCCTTTTCAATTTTTTGAGAATAAGAAATAATTCAAATATGCAATTTTTATAGTATCTGAAATACAGCACACTTTGGTCAGGCTGGTTTTCAGGTGCATGTTAAGACAGGGACTCAAGCGTTTCTTTCCACAGCAGAACATTCTGAGCTTCTACTGAAATCCACATGAACAAGAGCTATGCCAGACATTAGAGTGAACCAGGCAGATGAAAGTGAAGCAGGAGCTGGGAGAGGAAGTAAAGCTACTTATTTAGATACTTAATTTTAGCTGTACCAATTCTGAAAATATTAACTGTTCACTACCACTGCTGCAAGTCCTCAACGTGGCTTCTTTAATAACAAGCCATTTGGCTAAGTCCTGGACAGGTCTGATTCTCCATATCTCACAAAAGAGGTTACCATAGAATTAAACAAAGTTCTTTGACTACAAGTGAACCTAAAAATAAATACAAACTAAGCCTACACGAGATAGAATCAAATATACAGAAACACCAAACATTTGATAACAATTTCATGCCTGAGATAATAGCTCTCAAATTTTAAAATACTGTTAGCATGTTGGAGAGCTGTATCTTACCAGAGGCAAGCATTTCCACAGATCATTGCAATTGCGCTGTTCCACCCATAAACTGCTACGGGGAAGTTAAAGGCTGTGATGATTCCTACTAACCCAACAGGATTCCACTGCTCTATAAGGGCATGGCCAGGTCCTGAAAGCAAAGACACAACATAATGCAATTTGCATCCATTTAGTGTTTTTTTAGAAAGGAAACCATGTGAGCAAGGGGCCTAGCATCACTCTTCTGTCCATCGGAGCACTAGCTTGTGGAGAGCTGTATTATATGGGCTCTGCACCTTACTAGAACACTAGATTATGGAAAAACCTAATAATATGACAACATGAAGTTTTACTATTTTAACTGTTCATTTAACAGAATGGTGTGCTTATCAACAACTGACAAGAAGGTCTCTCATTTCTAAGTATACTCCTGAACTTCTTACATACTTTTCTCTAGCACCTTCATTAACAAAGAAAAAGAGAAGATGCCAGAAGCTTTCACCTTGTCACATGGAGCCAATGCCAGGTGGCTCCAAGATAGATCCGCCGCTGGCCAAGGCTGAGCCCAGTGGTAGTGCCTCTGGGATAACAGATTTAAGAAGGGAAAAAGTTGCAGCAGGCACAGAAACAACAGCCAGAGAGAGGAGTGAGAACATGTAAAAGAAAGAACCCTGCAGACCCCCAGGTCAGTGAAGAAGGAGGGGGAGGAGGTGCTCCAGGCACCAGAGCAGAGATTCCCCTGCAGCCTGTGGGGAAGACCATGGTGAGGCAGGCTGTCCCTCTGCAGCCCATGGAGGTCCACGGTGGAGTAGATATCCACCTGCAGCCCAGGGAGGACCCCATGCTGGAGCAGGTGGGTGCCCAAAAGGAGGCTGTGACCCCGTAGGAAGCCTGCGCTGGAGCAGGCTCCTGGCAGGACCTGTGGCCCCGTGGAGCGAGGACCCCAGGCTGGAGCAGGTTTTCTGGCAGGACTTGTGACCCCGTGGAAGGGACCCACACTGGAGCAGTCCGTGAAGAACTGCAGCCCATGGGAAGGGCCCACATTGGAGAAGTTCGTGGAGGGCTGTCTCCCATAGGAGGGACCCCACGCTGGAGCAGGGGAAGAGTGCAATGAGTGCTGCCCCTGAAGAGGATGAAGTGGCAGAGACAACATGTGATGAACTGATCATAACCCCCATCCCTGTCCCCCTGTGCCGCTGGTGGGGGTAGGTAGAGAATCCGGGAGTGAAGCTGTGCCCAGGAAGAAGGGAGGGGTGGAGGGAAGGTGTTCTGAGATTTGGTTTTATTTCTCATTATCCTACTCTGGTTGATTGGCAATAAATCAAGTTAATTTTCCCCGAGTCTGTTTTACCTGTGACGGTAATTGGTTGATCCCCCTGTCGCCCTGAAAACTCCCTGTCCTTATCTCGACCCATGAGCCCTTTGTTATATTTTCTCCCCCTGTTCAGCTGAGGAGGGGGAGTTATAGAGGGGCTTTGGTGGGCACCTGGCATCCAGTCAGAGTCAACCCACCACAGCTTCAAAGACTGGAGAGAAAATCTGTTGCCTCTGTTGCTATATGCCACAGGCTAGATACTTCATTAGGTAGTGCTACTGCCTATCAGCACATCTATTCCTACACAACATGCTCCCTAAGTAACTCACAGTACAAACATTTTGCTGCACTACATCCCACTATATTTAAGATACATCTCCATCTCTTCGTTTGTACAAATAAACACCCAAAACCCACATAACCACAAAATGAAAAAAAACCGCCCAACAAAATATATCCACACATACTTACTTTCTGAAGGCAAAATAGGTCCACCAATCATTCGGGACAAACCAACAGCATAGTCGCAGACATCAACATACTCCTGCACTTCCCCAACACCCTCAACAAAAATCTTTCCCATTTCCAAAGAGACCTGAAAAAATCAAGAGCAAGACAAAATTATTTTTAAAAAAATTCCCTTGCATTCCCAATACATTTCGTCTCCCACTAATGTCAGGTGTATCTGTATACCAAGTAAGATTTAATACGTATTTTTTTCCTTAGAAGAGATTCACCTCTTCCTGAGTTATTCACAGCTTAAAGAAAGAACACAATAGACAACTAGGCAGGAGTCACATTCCCATACAATAGGAGGAAATTAGAAGAGGAAATTATTGAACAGAGAAAATTAAAAATAACCTACTGAAAGGAGATCCAACAGTAATGAGGTTCATAGGTTTACATCAATGAAACACTGAATTTCCATGAGGATGTTTGCATACATTGTGGACCAGGCATGGAATAATTTGAAAAAAGGGATTACTCTGCTCCAGCAAAAGAAAATGGTCTTTTACATTTTTTGTAAGCAACTACTCATTTTACAACACCTTAAAGTGAGTTTGAGAGATTCTATTTTCACACACTCCTGAAAATGTCTACACATGTTTAGTATTTTAGTTATCTGGGATGTTTAGGATCAATTTTTTTTCTTTTTTTAGCTGAAGTCAATCCTAAACTATGTCCTTCTCTTAAAAGCATGTTAGATGTACACAGCAGACATATACATTATCAATGAGAATAAGCTGGTATTTGAAGACATTTTCCTCCAAAGTGAGAAAATTCACTAACTTAGGAGCTGAGAAGTCCCCCATTTATCCCCACTTAATTTTACAGTCATGCTCTGATACCTAGGTGCAACTTTCATGCAGATACCACCTACCACTTTAGACTGACGATTGTACTTTCAAGCAGCTGTTAAGTGAGGAATCAGGTTCAAAGGATTGCAGCAAGATTTTACTCCCCATGCAAAGGTTAAAATAAAGGTGACTAAATGTATTTCTGTAATGCCTGTGGTCATCTCAAGACAGAAGGAATAGCCACTATCTGTGACCAGAAATGGAGTGGAATCATAAGAAACACAGCAGTGAGTCCATAAGTGCAGCAGAGATACATCTGGATACTTGACAAGGCCATTGTGAGGCAAGGTTGGAAATTTCCAACGGAATATGAAAAAGTGAGTTGCCACACCGTTCCCTTTTATGTATCCTGAAGCCAGGAAAAGTCCTAAAACCTGGATACCTACTGCAAAGCTTTCACCCTGAAGTTCACCCCCTATCCTGGAAGAGCTGAACAGATGACTTATGTTTGGGAAAACTAGAAAAATGCTCTGGCAATAAGCAACAAGTTTTGTCCAAGGAACATACAGCAAACTTCTGTCTATCCACATTGACCAGGGAAGCTGTATCATTTTTTAATACAAAAGCACATTAGCACTCTAATTCCACCACAGAAACTCTGCTCAGGAAACATCAAGTGAAACAGCAGAACAAAGTTTTGTAGGTTAACAATATGGGCTTGACTACACATGGCGTTATTCACTGAGAGCTATTTCTGAATAGTAGCACATATAGGCAAGCCCTGTAAAAGGAAAGTGGCAAGTTCCCTACTTGTCTCCTTTTCTTTCCCAGCAACTAGCAAGTGTTTTAAAGGAGCAGTCCTTCCACCTTTATGTCCTGCACAGCACTGCAAGAAGATCTCATTAAGACCATCTCACCTTCTGAAGCCTTATACCTCCACATGTCAGTTTGCAAAATCCCGCAGATCACCAGAAAGAGCTCAAGGTTAAAAGCTCTGTATTGGAGGAAGGTCTTTTTCAGGACACTTTTAGTATCAGACAGTGCCCTATCTGACAGGCAAGTGGGAAAACCGCAGAGCGACAGTTGTAACACTCCTCCCGGCTAGAGTACAGGCTCAGAATGAATTACGCTTTCTTTTCCTATTATATATTAACTTTTCGGTGTAGGATGCCAGAATGCAATCTTACTTTTTTTTTTTACTTTTTTTTTTGAATTAAAATTTCTTTAGGCAAGCTAACAGAACAGCAGCTTTTTAACAATTATTAAGGTTAGTATTGCAGAGTGGTACATTAAAAACTGAGAAAAACAGTTTTGACACCTCACCCCCAAACCCGCCACAAACTTAAGCTGCTTCTTAAAACACCTTACCAAGCTTCCTAGAACCTTGATTTTTTGTCTCAGGGCATCACCAATCTGTCGCACTATTTCTCCACGCTTAGGTGCAGGGATCTAGTCAAAACAAAAGAAAACAGAAAAATCTATTTGAGATTGAACATCGGTGACTTCTGCAGCATATACACTGCTAGTTTTCTACCCCTGCAGTAAGAAATCACCGATTGCTGTACTTTTCCCCCTCTCTTCCCAAGATATTATTATTCATTCATTTTTATCACGCGCATTGCTTTACAAGAAACTGTTTCCTGCCTCACAGAGACTGGTAACAACTGTGCACATTTATGTCTGTTCAAAACTTCAGTTCCACTGAATATTGTCAGAAGCATTCAGATTATTAGCTTTGCTACTTCAGTTCAGCTACACCACCCACAATGTCCCCAAATAATCAGCTTCACCTCAAGAAACAAGCATTTTTTTTTAAATAAAAGCACACTTACTGGTTTCTGAGCTTTTGAAGTGTACTTAACATCACATTTTCATATGTTTTTTTTCAGCATGACAATGGCTGCTGACATTTGATAGTAAATGCCAAGACATACAGAAACCTCAATCATGGAAAAATTAAAACCATATACCAAATATTAATAGACTTTTTTTAATGTGCTATTAGTACGTGTCCTGGTTTCAGCTGGGATAGAGTTAATTGTCCTCCTAGTAGCTGGTAGAGTGCTATGTTTTTGAGTTCGGTGTGAGAAGAATGTTGATAACAATGATGTTTTCAGTTGTTGCTAAGTAATGTTCAGTCTAAAGTCAAGGATTTTTCAGCTTCTTATGCCCAGCCAGCAAGAAGGCTGGAGAGGCATAAGAAGTTAGGAGGCAGCACAGTCAGGGCAGCTGACCCAAACTGGCCATGTCTAGTTTATAAACTGGGGGGAGTGGGGGTGGTGGAATCGCCACTCAGGAACTAATTGGGCATGGGTCCACGGGTGGTGAGCAATTGCTTTGTGCATCATGTGTATATTCTAATCCATTTATTACTATTATTATCATTTTATTAGTGTTATCATTATCATCATTAGTTTCTTCTTTTCTGTTCTACTAAACTGTTCTTATCTCAACCCACAAGTTTTACTTCTCTTTCCGATTTTCTTCCCCATCCTACTCGGGGGCGGGGGGGCGCGCAGGAAAGTGAGTAAGCAGCTGCATGGTGCTTAGTTGCTGGCTAGGGTTAAACCATGACAGTATGGTAGATAATAATCAATAGCCAGGATCAATTATAAACCGTAAGCATGGAACAGGATATAGAGGATTAGAAACTGCTGATGAACTGCAGTTCTCTGGAAAGAGAGGAGTGAGGGATACATAAGCCATATGAGCATATCTGTTTACAGGCAAAGTCTTTCAGATAAGCTCATTACAAACAACAAATTTCACAAACTAACAACAAACAGCTTTGAGACAAGGCTGTTCAGCATTTGATCTGCTGATTCTTCGTTATCTGTTAGATTGCTTTCAGATGATTTCCAAGTACATTAGCAGCTGGCATACACTCACCAACATTATATTCACAAATTGTAACAAAAGAACATCATACTAACATATCTTGAGAAAGCTGAGGAAGCTGTTGTGTTTGTCCTAAACTTTGTTCTCTTTGAGCAAGGCAAACTACTTTGCTGGATAAAATACAGAATGCCCAATACCTTACAAAACACAGGTTTCAGTTTGTATACTGTACCTTTTATAGCAGGTAGCTATAAAAACCGAACCTGGCATGGCCAGCAAGAGAATGGATGCTGGATGGACATAGCTTGTACAGGTGCACTGAGAAATACAGCTTGCTAAGGAAAGACAGCTTAGCTATTGTCTGACACAGCAACATTTTGGAATAACGTAGCTGTTCTGTGAAACACCAGGACAGCTGGTGAACAAAAAAAACACACTCAAAACCAGCTGTCTTCCCCACCCCATGAGAACAAGGTCATCACCACAAGTTAAATATCCAAATATTCTGCAGAGTTCTTGCAAGAGAAAGCATGTGGCAACAGGAAGTTAAATACACCCACAGGGATAATTTGCTTGCTACAAAGTTTCTGAACTTCAGCAGACCTGTTGGCAATGACTTCAGGCACAAACCTGCATAAAAGTGCCAGACTTTTCAAAACAAACATTCTTCTCAAGTCAATGTCCTCACCTTTGTACCTCAATGGTAATGTGTGCAAGTTGCCTGCGTTTGTTTCTTGAGGTCCGCATTGCAGATTTTTGCTTTAATACAATTTACACAATATGAACATGTTTTTACATCTTCACCTGACAGGGCAGTTTAATGGCCTTTACCTGCCACGCAATACATTATAAAAGAGAAGCCTGTTAACTTACATCAGCCCAGACCTTCCATGCCTCTTTAGCCTTCTTTACTGTTTCTTCATAATCCTCCAAACTAGCCTACACGAAGAAGCATATGAAAGAAAAAGTTAGGAAAACCAAAACCCCAAAACAAACACCACAGAAAAGCTTCTGCATCCAACTCAAGACACTTCTAGAGGATAGTACTGCACTACAGAATACCACTTTCACAGGAAGTTTATATCCTGCCATAGTTTGGTCCCAACATGGCATGTTGAGTTACCTGAAGTTACTGTCGAGGAATACCATTTGACCTGCGTAAATTAAAAAAAAAAAAAAAAAAAGCTCGCAGAAATTTTCCTTCAGATGACAACAGCTGTTCCCTAAAGAATAGCTGGAAGGTAGGCATTCATCGCATATTCATGTACCTTCTTTTATCTTAGTTACTACTGCTACTGCCATTATTAAACAAAGGCTGTGAGGACTGCCCTACTCCACCAGCCTCACTAGGCATCAAGGGCTAATTGAATCCTAATAAACAAAAGGAGAAGGTTAGTACCACAGCACTATTCTCACACTAAAAGCTTCCATAAGTTTACCACATGAATTCCATGTTGCTCTCCTTCGTACCTCCCCCAGCCACTCAGCTCGGCTGAATAGCCACAATCCACCCCTACTCTGCAGCTCCCTCTAGAAACAAACAGAAAAGGGCAGGAGAGGCCCTTGCTATTCCCAACGACACTTGCAAGAATAGGGGAGGGATAAAAAAAAAAAAAGAAAAAAAAAAAAAAAAAAAAAGGTGAACAGCCTGTTTTTCTTCCCAGAAAAGCCACGCGGTTACTTCCAGCAGACGGCCCGAGCTGTGATGAGCTTCACCAACTGCCTCTGGATTCGACATCCCCATGGCCCCTGCCACCCTCACCCACCCCAGCGGGCTCCTGCCCTTCGCGAACCTGGTCCAGAGGAGGAGCACCTCCCAAACCAACGCCCAAACGCCCCTCATTCCGGCCACGCGGAGCGGAGGGCTCCTTCCTTCCCAGCAGCCGGCGGGTCCCTGCCCCCCCCCCCGAGCTCCCGAGGCCGGGCCGGGCCGAGGCGTGCTTACCTGCCGGACGCTGGCTATGGGCTCGTTCGTGGCAGGGCAGTACGTCGTCACCACCTAGAGCGGGGGCCGGAGGGGGGGAGGCGGGGAAGGATGAGCAGCGAGGCCGCGCTCGCCCCTTTACCCAACGGAGGGGGCGCAACGCCCAAGCCCCCGCCGAGGCCCGGCCGCGCCGCCACCCCAG